TAGGGTCTCCTCTTTTAACCTTTGGAAGACTCTGTCTGTTTAGCTGCCTTGACCATTCGTGAATAGCCTTCCTATTTACATTGGAAAAGGTCCTCATCAAATAGGAAACAAAATCTCCAGAATCTCCTATGCTTAGCCGGCGACTAGTACCAAGTCTGATTCACAGGATGGCTTGAACACTAGTCGCACGCTTGTCGATTCTGCTTTCAATTCCACAGTTGAGCTCACTCGAGCGCCAAGCCTCAATATTTTGGCACTCAATCCAGATTTGACTTCATTTGAGCATCAAGTGCTCATCTGGATTTCATATCATGACCTTAAATATGGTGTTCAAAACAATATTTTTTTAATATGAAATAGGTCATGCAGGAATCACTCAAAGTGTGGTCAAGTTATCCTACTTAACCACTAAGGCTCACTAGGTATCTAGGTCGACTTACCATGCCTAACCAGTGGATTCCAAACATGTAGTCTTCAATGCATGTACCACAACTCGGTTTCGATCTTCAATCTTCAAGACACGACCAAATGGACTTAAGATTTGACTCTTATGACTCGCGGAATTATACCCACACACTAAACTGCTATCAGACGATCATAGGTGAAATGAGAAGCTGAGATCAATGAGTCATCATGCAAAGAGAGATTACCCAAAAACCTAAAAAATTAGAAATATTTTTGAGAAGCGGGAAGGAATGTCAATTGAGGACAAGATGAGTGACATGGTATAGGATGGTTTGAGCAAACACAAGATCGACCAATGAATGCACTCAGAGAAGCTCACAAAGTTGAAGTTGAAGGATCCAAAAGAACACTAGTGTAGTAAAAGAAGAACATTTGTTTTTGAGATGGTAAGAGAAGAAATGGTGACACGATTTTACGAAATTTTACGAAAAATTAAGCTGGAGTACAATTGAATTGCATAAAGAATTGCTGCATTCAACTCCAAGTAGATGCCAAGTTCAGGCAGAAACAAGGCTAGACAAATGACGAAGGTGACTTCAAGACTGAAAAAAGACAGGTAAAATATAATTTTCCCCTTGAAACCAATTCCAAAGTCAAGGTCAAAGAATTCCAAAGTAAAACTGCCATGTCAACCAAGATTAGGAGATCAAAAATATATAAATACCTTCGAACCCAGTCCAACGTACCAACAGATACCGTTTTGTTCTCATAGTTGCTACTGCACCAGACCCAGGTTCCTCCAAGTAAGTTCCATCTTCTATCTGCAAATATGTTTTCATAGAGACATAGATAAGAAATAAGATAATTATGATTAAATTACCGCAAACTAATGACTAGCTAATGCTAAATAAATAATTAAGATATCAACATTTATCAGTGTTAGTGATCTCGATAGCACAAATCAAACAATTTGGGAAATTCAGGCAGTGGACAATTATTATCTGGCCATAGATATGCTAAAACGTCACAAACTTACTTCTAATCCAGATAACTGCTGAAAAACATAGATGCATAAAAAGCAAGAAGCTATTATTTGCAGTTTCCCTTCACAAATCCTAGTTCTCTAGCACCTAGAAATCTGGATACAAATATAAGAAGACTTCATGCTAGAACTCCACTGTAAAGAATTCCATGTTAACCAAGATCATAGTTATCTTACGGATAGAAACTATTCAGCTGCGTAACAAATCCATGTTGCTCTAACATTTTAATCCACTCTCAGGGTTGGGCTTGTCTTCAGCCAGACCCTAAATCAAAGTCACCAATTCCTAGTAACACCAACTGATGCCAGAAGCGACATTGAAAAATTTTATTGATACTGAATTCAGCCAGTAATAGTAATACAGCATTAAAAATGCGTTCAAGAACACTAGGACAATACTTTTTTAGGGTCAAGAAACAACAGTCACAGTCTTCTTCATTTTCAGAATCAAAACTACTGCATCTTGCAAAAAGGAATCCTTGAAATAAGAAAAGGTGCAACTCTGAAATAACTGTAAATCCTAGCAGCCAAGATCTTACACTTACGACCATTGAAATTATGAAACAAAATGTTAAAGAAAAGGCTACATGGAATTAATCAAAAATTTTGGTGCATACTGGACATTCAGGTCACCCAACCTAACTGAGAGCAGTCTCCAAAGCACTTCAGGTGCTCAAAATGCTCCAAAAGTTAGCACTACACATGACAACCACTTAGCTTGAGTGGTGTAGTACACCACTCAAGCTAAGTGGTTGTCATGTGTAGTGCTAACTTTTTGGAGCATTTTGAGCACCTGAAGTGCTTTGGAGACTGCTCTCAGTTAGGTTGGGTGACCTGAATGTCCAGTATGCACCAAAATTTTTGATTAATTCCATGTAGCCTTTTCTTTAACATTTTGTTTCATAATTTCAATGGTCGTAAGTGTAAGATCTTGGCTGCTAGGATTTACAGTTATTTCAGAGTTGCACCTTTTCTTATTTCAAGGATTCCTTTTTGCAAGATGCAGTAGTTTTGATTCTGAAAATGAAGAAGACTGTGACTGTTGTTTCTTGACCCTAAAAAGTATTGTCCTAGTGTTCTTGAACGCATTTTTAATGCTGTATTACTATTACTGGCTGAATTCAGTATCAATAAAATTTTTCAATGTCGCTTCTGGCATCAGTTGGTGTTACTAGGAATTGGTGACTTTGATTTAGGGTCTGGCTGAAGACAAGCCCAACCCTGAGAGTTGGATTAAAATGTTAGAGCAACATGGATTTGTTACGCAGCTGAATAGTTTCTATCCGTAAGATAACTATGATCTTGGTTAACATGGAATTCTTTACAGTGGAGTTCTAGCATGAAGTCTTCTTATATTTGTATCCAGATTTCTAGGTGCTAGAGAACTAGGATTTGTGAAGGGAAACTGCAAATAATAGCTTCTTGCTTTTTATGCATCTATGTTTTTCAGCAGTTATCTGGATTAGAAGTAAGTTTTGTGACGTTTTAGCATATCTATGGCCAGATAATAATTGTCCACTGCCTGAATTTCCCAAATTGTTTGATTTGTGCTATCGAGATCACTAACACTGATAAATGTTGATATCTTAATTATTTATTTAGCATTAGCTAGTCATTAGTTTGCGGTAATTTAATCATAATTATCTTATTTCTTATCTATGTCTCTATGAAAACATATTTGCAGATAGAAGATGGAACTTACTTGGAGGAACCTGGGTCTGGTGCAGTAGCAACTATTGAGAACAAAACGGTATCTGTTGGTACGTTGGACTGGTTCGAAGGTATTTATATATTTTTGATCTCCTAATCTTGGTTGACATGGCAGTTTTACTTTGGAATTCTTTGACCTTGACTTTGGAATTGGTTTCAAGGGGAAATTATATTTTACCTGTCTTTTTTTCAGTCTTGAAGTCACCTTCGTCATTTGTCTAGCCTTGTTTCTGCCTGAACTTGGCATCTACTTGGAGTTGAATGCAGCAATTCTTTATGCAATTCAATTGTACTCCAGCTTAATTTTTCGTAAAATTTCGTAAAATCGTGTCACCATTTCTTCTCTTACCATCTCAAAACAAATGTTCTTCTTTTACTACACTAGTGTTCTTTTGGATCCTTCAACTTCAACTTTGTGAGCTTCTCTGAGTGCATTCATTGGTCGATCTTGTGTTTGCTCAAACCATCCTATACCATGTCACTCATCTTGTCCTCAATTGACATTCCTTCCCGCTTCTCAAAAATATTTCTAATTTTTTAGGTTTTTTGGGTAATCTCTCTTTGCATGATGACTCATTGATCTCAGCTTCTCATTTCACCTATGATCGTCTGATAGCAGTTTAGTGTGTGGGTATAATTCCGCGAGTCATAAGAGTCAAATCTTAAGTCCATTTGGTCGTGTCTTGAAGATTGAAGATCGAAACCGAGTTGTGGTACATGCATTGAAGACTACATGTTTGGAATCCACTGGTTAGGCATGGTAAGTCGACCTAGATACCTAGTGAGCCTTAGTGGTTAAGTAGGATAACTTGACCACACTTTGAGTGATTCCTGCATGACCTATTTCATATTAAAAAAATATTGTTTTGAACACCATATTTAAGGTCATGATATGAATCCAGATGAGCACTTGATGCTCAAATGAAGTCAAATCTGGATTGAGTGCCAAAATATTGAGGCTTGGCGCTCGAGTGAGCTCAACTGTGGAATTGAAAGCAGAATCGACAAGCGTGCGACTAGTGTTCAAGCCATCCTGTGAATCAGACTTGGTACTAGTCGCCGGCTAAGCATAGGAGATTCTGGAGATTTTGTTTCCTATTTGATGAGGACCTTTTCCAATGTAAATAGGAAGGCTATTCACGAATGGTCAAGGCAGCTAAACAGACAGAGTCTTCCAAAGGTTAAAAG